AGCACCAAGGAAGATTTATCTTAAAGGAGCCACCATAGACTATGGAGACAGATCAGCCTCAAAAATAACACATTTGCAAAACTTACTTGTGTATTTATGAATTGTGTTTTGAATTTACGAATCGGATTTTGTAAATGTAAATTGTGCTGTGCATTTATGAATTTTGTTTTGCAAATGTGTTATTTTTGAGGCTGATCTGTCTCCATAATAGACTGCTAAAGAAAACACACTACAGACTAGTGCTCATTTTTTGTAACTTCCTATCAGTAAAGACTTGTCCTACTAAAAAAAAAAAAAGATTAAACCAGCCTTAAGGCTCTGATATACTCATGGTGAAGTTTATTTTCGTTCTTCTCTTAGGGGTAAAAAGCAGTTTGAAATACCTGAGCAGCAGTTTACAATTAGCAAACGTCTGGACGCCGCCTACAACTTCAATTACTACTTTACAGCATCTCTCCGTTGTGTTCATATTTTTGCTTGTGAGCGTCTGACCTTGACGAACTGAACACAAGAAATTAACTGAAGAAGATTTAATTGTCAATAAGGCGGAGTCACAGAGCCACACCCACCTATTATGTCATCACAACGGACCAATGAAAGGTGTTTATCAGCCGGAGCAAACTTTTCTGGTTTTAAACTCCCAAAACAAACTTCGTTTTGGCCTGATTTTGTTCAAAGTGGCGTCACACCAGTTAGTTCTTTGATTTTGCTTCAATCATATTGGGGCCTTTAACTAGTTTGCTGGTCTTAACTGCCCATCAGACTGATTTTCAAGTGTTTTCGCCACTTGTCAGCTATCAGCAAACAAGTGCCATGTATCTGCTTTAAAATCTTAAAAAATATATATATATAGCAAAAACTAACTGAATATAAGAATTAGCCAAGCTGACCATTAAGCTGAGACAAGAAAACCACATCAATATGGTTTAAACTGTTGGTTTCTTCTTTAGCAATGTGGACTAGTCAACTTGTGTGATTTTGTGGAAAAAAACACTGATTAAACAGTCTTAACTGGCCATCAAACTGATTTCACTAATCAGGCTGTAAAGTATTTTGGTATCTTGTTAACTAGCAGCAAAAAAGTGCCAAAAACTACTTTAAAACCATCAAAAATTAGCAAAAACTAGCTGAATATCAGCAATGGCCGGGCTGACCATTAAGCTGAGACCAGAAAACCACAAAAAGTCGGTATAAACTTTGTTTGATCTGCAGCAATGTGGACCAGGCAACTTGTGTGATTTTGTTGAACATGACTAACTTGTGAACAAAAAAAAAAAAACGATTTTCTTGTCTTAACTTGCCATCAAGCTGATTTTCACTCGTCAGGCTGTCCATCTCTGATGGTTTTAGAAGGGTTTTAGGCACTTGTCAAGCTAACAGGTGCCCAAAAACTGCTTTAAAACAGTAAAAACGAATAACTAGCAGCAAAAAAGTGCCAAAAACGACTTTAAAACCATCAAAAATGAGCAAAAACTAGCTGAATATCAGCAATGGCCAGGCTGACCAGTAAGCTGAGATCAGAAAAACCACATTAAGTTGGTTTAAACGGTTTCTTCTTCGGCAACATTGACAAGTCAACCTGTGTGATTTTGTTGAATGTAAATAGCTAACCTGTGAACAAATCTGTAACCTTTCAAACATGCAAAACTTGTTAGAAAAACAGTCTCTTTTGCTGTTGGCAAGCACTGGTTTTGGGAAACACAACGTGACTCATATCAGTTCATCTAGTACTTCAAGTCCATTTCAGGGTTTAGCCTGCTGCTTATGTTTTCCTGTATGAAAGTCGGGCTTAAATTCATTCCTACAGTAAGCTCATTTCTCACACAGCACATGAAATAATAGAACTGTCTATCAATTAGCAGTAGATATCAATATTAGTGATGGCAGCCTTGTAATTTATGCCCGGAATTAACTGCTAAAGTTGCTAAACATTTATTCTTCTAAAGCTGACATGTGCCATTTTTTGCCATGTTTGTTTTTGGAAGCAGTTAGCAATTGTAAGTCCATGTTTGGCATTTATTGTGCAACAGTGACATCTGGTGGCTGTAAAGTTAACAACATGCTTTCCTCACTTGCTACAATCAGGAAAATTGTCCCAGACTCTGTGATGTCTTTATGCAGTTATTTTAGGCATTGTAAATTAAGCAACTTATTTTTTCCCCACATGTGTTTCCACAGGTTATTTATGCATTTTCTACATACAGCACATCTGTCACCACTGGTATCGGAGACACAGATCTGTGATGGAGATCTGAAGGGAACAATTACAGCTGATTACTAGCAGGCAGACAGGTGCAGAGTGGTAGTGAGAGTGAGAGTGTGTGTTTGATCAGATAACTCAGGGAACGCGTGTAACGCCGAGCTCACTGCAAAACTGAAGATCATCGCCATTTTCAATTTTATATCAACAGTCTAAAAAAGCAATAACCGCAATCATGAAGGTGAATATCTGTAGTGTGCACCAAAAATGTTCAATTTGTTCATAGTGACAAATTTTTCACTTAGAGAGTGTTTTTGGCCCAAAACGCACATAATACACACTTTAGATCCTATTAAGCAACAAATAGTATGTAGCAGTGTTATTTTAATTTAGATCATTTTAATTTAATTTAGATAACTTATGCATTTAGCAGACGCTTTTATCCAAAGTGACTTACAGTGCATTCAGACTATACATTTTTTTACCAGTATTTACATTTTAGTATTATTTTATATTTCAGTATATATTTTCTCTTTTTAAATTTGTATAATTTTTTTAAATATATTTTTACTTTTAATTTACTTAACGTTTTAGTCATTTTTTAAAGTCTTTAATTTATATTTGGTCTAATCTAATTTAATTAAATGTATTTAATAAAATATATTTTTATTTATTAGTTTGCTGAAATAAATAATTATATATGAAATAATAATTAGCTGAAATAAAATTTTGTGTGTGTGTGTGTATGTATACACACACACACAAAATTTAATTTCAGCTAGTTTTTAAATAAATAAAATAGCATTAAATCTAATCTAATTAAATTTTTGTTTATTAGTTTGAGTTATTTTAGTGCTAAACTAAACTTAAACAAAAAAAATAAACAAAAATGTTGCCTTGGCAACTAGCTGAAATAAGTTGAAGGTTTACATATTTATATGTGTGTGTGTGTGTGTGTGTGTGTGTGTGTAAACTGATACCATATATATATATATATATATAATGTTATTGCAGTTAAGGCTTATTTTATTTCAAATATCAAAAATGTTTTTTTTATGGTTATGATTTTAATTTGAGTTAACTATAATAACACTGGTATAGGAGGCCTATTTTTGTCATTGTGCTAGATTTTCGTTTACAGTTGTTGCCTTTCCTCTGGCGTCATCCTGGTTTGTCTCTGGCAGTGTGGGCATGTTGGGTTCTGTCCCAGGACATCTCGTTACAGCACACAGAGATTGTGCTAATGTGATCCAGTGAGAGGAGCGTGAGGATGAGGAGGCAAGGCCTTCCTCTGTATGAACACTGATTCAATGCATTAAGCATTTGACAAATTCCTTTTAAACAAACTTTGCAATAACACGATTCCTCTAACCATACGTCTTTTTGAGAAGAGGTGTTGAATCTCCCAAGGTTGTTACTGTCACCTTTGATTAACCACTGAGGAGTTTGAATGGGATTATTCTCTGTAAAGCAGCTTTGGAACAATGCAGTATGAATTGAGCTTTACAAAGCGAAATGAATTGAAGACGTGCGATCAAACAATAGCATGATTTGTTAAACTAGTCAAGACGTGTGGTTCAGGGAGAGTATCCAAGGTTCTTTTGAGCAGCAGTCAGATGATAAATGACATCCCTGCAGCTGTGTGATGTTCTGCAAGGACTCGGTTTCATAGCGGATGGACAAAGTTGCATGGAGTTCGGCACAGAATTCATACAGTTTGAGTGGTTTTCCTTAAATTTAGTTTAGTTTCTTATTTTGTTTTTTTTAGAAACATGCATTTATGTTTGTAATTTGTAGTTTGCAGTATTCCTAAAATACATCACCCTGATGCCATTTTAACATCCACTAGTTCTAGTTCTTTAGTAAACCATCATATGCTGGTGTTTTGAAGAACCTGGAAATCAAAATATTGATCTATAGAACCAATAATGAAACATCAAAAACCTTTCATCTCCAAAGAACCATTGATACTACTGTTCAAAAGTTTAGATTTTTTATTGTTTTTGAAAGACTTCTGCCAAGGCTGCATTTATTTCATTAAAATACAGTAGAAACAGTAATATTGTGAAATATTGTTAACATTTAAAACAGCTGTTTTCTCTTTGATTATATTATAAAAGATAATTTCTTTTTGTGATGGCAAAGCTGAATTTTCAGCATCATTACGCCAGTCTTCAGTGTCACGTGATCCTTCAGAATTCATGCTGATTTAGTGCTCAAGAAACATTTCTTATTATTATCAATGTTAAAAACCGTTGTGCTGCTTAATATTTTTGTGGAAACCATGATATATTAATGGTTTTCAGGATTCCTTTATAAAAAGAAAGTTCAAAAGAACAGCATTTATCTTAAAAAATAAATATATTAAAAAAAAATAATAATAATAATAATAATAATAATAAAAGAAAAAAAGAAACTTACCAAACCCAAACCTTTGAATGGAAAAGTGTAAAGAAGCATTTAAACTCTTAAAAATAAAGGTTCTTTGTTGGCAGTTTTTTTTCCCCCATAAAGAAAAATGTTCTTCTATGGCATCTCTGTGAAAAACTCCTTTTGGGTTCATTCTGACACCTTTATTTTTCAAAATGTAGATGCAGATAGACAATTTTTCCAGATGCAGACACAGATTCCATTTCTTAAAATGTTTTAATGTCATGTACAGAATTCGCATTAGTCACTAAAAATGTTAATGGTACAATCACAGGTCAATAACCTGAAAACTGTAGAATAAATAGAACTTCGATTAGTAAATGCTATTAATATATGCGTTAACTTTAATAGTGAGGTGACTATCAAAGTGGATAAGAAAACGACAGTCTATATATTAATTAGTAGTCATGTCAACAGCTCTAGTCATGTTAGTGCTAAACATCTTTCGTGCTTACATACTGTGTGTAAAATATTTACATCATCCTTTTTTCCTTCTAACGAATTAGTCTAAGAAAAACTGAAAGAATAGACTCAGTAAAGTCTGTTATTGCAGAGACGTACAGTTGATCGGGTCAGGAAATGCCCTGCCATGGTGTCTCCGAAATACCAGGATGTCCTCCTGGCGGAGGGAGAGGTCAGGGGGGGTCGCCGGTCACCATGGCAACAGAGTCCACATTCATAGTCACAATAATGCTCAGTGTTCCGAACAGAACCCTTCTGTACGCCAGCCGGTATGATGTCACGGTGATGTCATTCCGAAGTGCAGACCGGTTCTGGATTCAGCTCCAAAAACAGCTTGATCCTCGAATATCGCCATGATATCCGTTGTAAATCAGCCACTGCAGAGCTTGGGTTCTAAAGAGGCTTTAGCGTTGTCGTTTCATGTGATCTGCTTTCAGTCTGACGAAGAAGGAAAAAACGAGCTGTTAGTTTACATCACGAGATGAGTGATCTGACAATTACATTTCGTTTGAGCTTCAACAGATGCCACTAATTGGAAAACTCATGCATTAAAGTGTCCAATCTGTCTTCTCTGGAAAGCTTTAATCAAGTTATTAAAGAGAAGGTGACGGGTCATGAATACACACACACACACACACACACACACACACATTTAGCGGTCAGGACTCTTGTCAAGCTCTGATCAGAGAATCAGCATGACAGGCACCTGCTGTTCACAAAAGCATTGGAAACAAACTGACGTTCAGGAATATTCTGGGTTATTCTATCTTAATATCTACAGACAACATCTATAGCATCTGTTGACTGCCACAGAAAATAATGGATTCAGTTACAGATATGTTAAATGATCTGGAAGTGATCGGAGCACTCGGTGTTAAAGGGATAGTTCATCTGAAAAATGGAAATTCTTTCATCATTTACTCATCCTAATGTTCTTCCAAACTTGTAATGCTTTCATTCTTTGATGTGTGGGTGAGTAAATGACACAATTTTAATATATGATCAGTATAATATAAATACTGTTACACAAAAATGGATTAAAAATGAAAATCTATTTCTATCACTTGCTGAATTGCATGAGGTCAGTGTCGCAGACTAATAGATTTAAAGGAATAGTTCACTCAATAGTTAGATTTGGAGAAATGTAGCGTTACATCACTTGCTCAGCAATGGATGCTCTGCAGTGAATGGGTGCCGTCAGAATGAGAGTCCAAACAGCTGATAAAAACATCACAATAATCCACAAGTAATCCACACCACTCCAGTCCATCAGTTACCATCTTGTGAAGCGAAAAGCTGCATGTTTGTGAGAAACAAACCCATCAAGACGTTTTAACTGTGTGGATTACTTGTGGATTATTGCGATGTTTTTATCAGCTGTTTGGACTCTCATTCTGACGGCACCCATTCACTGCAGAGCATCCATTGGTGAGCAAGTGATGTAATGCTACATTTCTCCAAATCTGATGAAGAAACAAACTCATCTACATGCTCAATGGCCTGAGGGTGAGCACATTTTCAACAATTTTCAGCATGTTTGGGTGAACTACTCCTTATAGTGTTTATCATTACATCCAAACTATGCCCAAAATTGTGCACAAGTATGCACTGCATTTGAAGACATTCTTTAAGTAACGTGCATATGTCATTATTTGCATACTGAGGGATGGGTTGCATGTTAGTGTGCCACATATGCTGTCGTTAAGATAATAACACTGAATCGCTCTGATTTGAGTTTACAGACACGTCGAGAGTTTGTTCTCCGGATACAGATTAAACTTGGTTTTTAGCAGTTATGTATTAAGACGTGTGATTTGATCCAGTTCATAGTCTCTCTGGAGCCGTGTGGTAATGTTGTGCTGTGTAATCTAAATGTAATACCGCAGTCTGTTCCTCTCGCACACTGCTTCCTCATACACAGGGTTATTATGGGTAATCAGTCCAGCCATTATAGATTTTTTTTTGTTGAAGAACACACTTAAGTTATATTAAAGTGTTATATATTAATATATTTTCTATATATTCTTTTATTGAATTTTATACACACACATATACTAAATTATATATATTTATCAAAGAACACACACTTTGTAAGTTATATTTTAAAAATATATTAATATATTTAATATATTAACTTCATTTGTGTTCTATATATATATATATATATATAGAACTCAAATGAGTGATTTGATCCAGTTCATAGTCTCTCTGGAGCCGTGTGGTAATGTTGTGCTGTGTAATCTAAATGTAATACCGCAGTCTGTTCCTCTCGCACACTGCTTCCTCATACACAGGGTTATTATGGGTAATCAGTCCAGCCATTATAGCCTTTCATCATGACCGTGTTGTCATGAGGTCTTTCATCATGCTTTTTTTTAAAAAAAACATGCATTATAACCTTTAAGGTCATTTACATACATTAGTATTTGATATCCTGTTGTCTGTTATTGTATACGGCTGCACAATGCCAGACACATTATAGAGAAACAAATGTCTGTTCAGTGAAATTACTATTTGAATTGCTCTCTGTAGAAGTCTGGAAATATAGAGCATGGACTGTTTTCATGTGGTACTCTATTTTTTTTAGATATGTGTCACGATGGTTGTGTAGTTGGCTAATCCAACAATCAACTAGTCAATTAGTGAGGGAATTATTTATTATTAGTATGAAATTATTTAAATTAAGTTATATTAAATTAACCTAAAATGCTTCAAAAATATGTATAATTAGAATGTACAACATATATAATACCATGAAATTATATATATATATATATATATATATATATTTGTTATATATATATATATAGAACTCAAATGAAGTTACATATAAGAATGTACAACTTGTAAACTGAAATCTTTTTTTTTTTTTAATGTGTATATAAAAATGTGTATTAATTGAAGAACGAACAAACTTCTGGAATCACAAAATGAATTGTGGTTAATTTCAGTCTATTGATTTGATCTAATTTTTGTGAATATAAAACAGCTGGAAAACAAGCAGCTTTGTCATAATTACAACAGAAGCATGAGTTTGGTCCGGTCGACAAATATACTTTGCTTTTTTATATGAAACTTATGACTGTTATTTGATCTAGACATAAAAAAGAGCAAAATATCCTGTTACTGTTCTTTACTTTTAACTGTTTCAAACCTGTGTTTTTCTTTGAGTGTGCTCCTCACCTTTACGTGTGGATTTTGATTGGCTGGCAGCTACTGTGTTCAAATCAGCAGGAAGTCCCACATACACTCCTCCATAGTTCCTGCAGAACACACAGTTACACATTCATTATTATTGTCCCGATTCAGTGTCATAATGATGTTTTCATACTAGCAGAGGTCTTGCATGTATTGTCATGATTGCAGTAGACCGTCTAACCTTCGTTTCTCATCATCCGGTGAAGGTTCTTCTGTCCTGCATCAAGAGAATAAAGATGAAGACCATCTCTGTGGTTGACACATCTGTCACACATCAATTCATGCTCTCTCTTGTCTACTTTTTTGTACTGTACTTTGTCAGTGTCCTCTCTGCTCAAAAAAATCAGTTATGTCTATGACATCAAAATATTTCATACCACATTCAGAAGCAGTTTTCATCTCAGAAAGATCCTGCTACATGTGTTGATGGACCCTAGTCTGTATTTTATTTCATGGGATGGAAGTACAGCCTGTTTTAGTTCATATTTAATGCTTTTGTCCACTGAAAATGCACATTTCCTTAAAATTACTAATGTTTTGTTAGCTTAAGAATTAAAACAAGAGTATAACTAATTGATCGAGCATTATTTCTATCCATCACAGATTCATTTTCATTTGCATAAAAATATGCCATTTCTGATTTCGCAGTTTAGATTTTGAATGGAATTTTAACCGGGAATTCACTCTCAAGCTAAAATTGTTATTTTATAATTGTAGTTATTTTATAATTTTTTTATTCATATAAAAATGTATATACTTAATATTTTTTTTAATTGTAATAGATAATAATAATTAAATTTTAATATAATTGTTTCCTTCTGTAAAATATAAAAATCTATTTTACTTTTTATAATAAATTATATAATTATTATTATTATATAATTATATTATATATTAAAAACATAAATATATTTCGTTTTCATATTCAATGTTTTTGTCCACTGAAAACACATTTTTCCTTAAAGGGGTCATATGATGCGATTAAAATTTTTCCTTTCTCTTTGGAGTGTTACAAGCTCTTGGTGCATAAAGAAGATCTGTAAAGTTGCAAAGACTAAAATCTCAAATCCAAAGAGATATTCTTTATAAAAGTTAAGAG